ACAGGGCAGGTGACGATGGGTAAAACTCAGTCCTGGCCTCTCCCCTGGGGACAGCTCTGCGGCCATCCCGGGCCAGCGCAGCTCCTGTCTGGGCACACGGCCGCAGGCGGGACAGGTCTCGCACCCCTCAGCCTCCATCCTCCCTCATGTCCCGCACCAAAAACCGACGGGTGCAGACTCCAAAGGAGGCTGGGGGGGGGGGAGTTGGCACCAACACGGCTGGGGTAAAGTCTGTGCGTGTGAGTGTGTGTGTGTGTGCGTGTGTGTGTGTGTGTGTGCATGTGTGTGAGTGTGTGGCACAGGCTGGGGCCGGTTCTCGGGGGGGGGGGGTCACACGCAGTCGGTCCCTCCGGCGGAGGTCTGCGCTCAGGGATGCTCTGCTTCGAGGCGGCTCACAGGGCTGCGTTGGCCACTCATGCGTCCGGAGTGAATCACGGATTCCTGAAAGAACCATAAAGTTGGCTGGCAGGCATCTGAGGTCGCGGGAGAGGGTTTCTCTGTCTTGTGACTGGGGTTGGACTGACATACTCCTGCAGTGATGATGTTACAGGGCCATAAAACAGAAAGCGGCTGGAGCCGAGGGCCGTGCGGGTCTCCTGCGCCCCATCCCTACCAGCGCCGTCGGCAGGGAGAAGTCACTGCACCTCTGAGGTCGGGGTTGGAATTTCCAGATGCATTTCCTAAACTTACCCATTTCGTACCCTCTCTGTTGTTAGGACTTTATGCAATGTGAGTCTGTTATTTTATTTTTACTCTAGCGTTGTCATCCATTTTATGATCACTGTTAATTAATGAGATATCTTTTATGGATAGTACATAGAGAACCTAATTATATTGTTTACACAACCAGCTCTTAAAAACAGATCGTGATTTATGAAGTCTCCTGATTTTTGGAGCATTGGGTCAGATAGTATATGTTTATAAACCATGTTTTTTCTTCCAATACTGTTCTTGGATATAACAATGGGAAAGCAGAAATGAGTCCTACAGGATATCAAGGGATTGGAAAGACAGAGAAGAAAAACAAATTAACATCCCACATTCAAAACCGAAGCCTCAAAATTTTCAGGAGGCCCTGTGCAAGCGTGATTCTCCAGATGCCTTCATGCTGTGCAGGCAAACTTAGTGTCTCGCTGTCCCCAAACTAAATGTGCATGGTACATGTATAACGCACGTGTGTGTGCGTGTGTAATGAACAGCACATACACTTGATTTCCTACGGTGTTGCCTCTCGAGTTCTGACAAACAATGAGTGAGCACTCAATATCCAAGCCCAGCAAGTGCGGGGGTGCTGGGGGTGAAGAGCGGGGGCGGGGCTGTCACACACAGAGAGCTGACAGGTGTCTGTGTGGGGTGCACTTGGGTTTTTAAGTCCGAGGATGGTGTTTTCAGAAAACCAGACAGAGGTTTCTGGCGCTTAGCCAGGACCTGGGCCTGGGCCTTGGGGACTGGAGGCGTGGAGCGGGCCACGTTCCTGGCCAAGCTTCTGGCCTGGCACCCAATGTAGATCTGGGGACAAACCCCTCTGTGCCAGGCACCCCATCCTGTGCTCCCAGCCATCGTCCTCTGTGAGCAGAGAGACTTCATCACCAACTCACCCTCCAAAGCGCTTCAAATCCACGCTCCGATGGCTCGCCAGTGCATGCCTCCCAGGCTCCTCTGGTGCCCTGAAGGAAAGTCCCCCCCCAGCCGAGGCCCCCTCCCCCAGCACCCAGCCCAGGGCCACCCACACTCAGCCGGCGGCCACCTCGTTCCCAGCCCAGGGCTGCGGCGGATAAAGGAGGCTGCATCCGACAGGACTTGGGCAGCTGCTGCCTTTCCTGAAGCTCGTGGGGCCGGGCAGGAAGCGGGGCTCCTGGAGAGGGAGGGCCAGGAGCCCACGAGAACAGAAGCATCTGGAATGAGTCTGGACGAAGTCACAGCGACCTCTCCAGAAAGGAGTCTTTTCTTTACAAGACACCTGAGAAATTTCTCTTCACAAGAGCAAGTTAAAATTTAAAAAGAAACTGAACGGAATTCTTGTAGAAAAAAATATTTGAAGAAAATATTTGCAGTATAAAAATGAAAGAATGACTGTCCCGACCGTCTACCCCACGGAAGTCTGTCCGTCTGTGTCCCCAGCGGAGGAGGAGGGCGGGGCCGGGGCTGGTGGGGCGGCAGCGCCTGGTGCGTGCGCGGGGCGCAGCGGGAAGCACGTGGGCAGCACCGCTTCCTCCGTGTCTGCTCTCCTGTCCCCTCGCGGACGCCTTCTACCGTGACGCTCAGCAATGGCACCCACGCCCACGTTCTTCTGTTCCTGACGGTGGCCCTCAGAGTTTCTGAGCACCTGACATACGTGTTCATTTATTAGCGGGTGATCTGTTCCCTTGAGACTGCTTGTATATATATGTGTGTGTGTGTGTGTGTGTGTGTGTGTGTGTGTGCACATGCGTGTGTGTGCGCGCGTGTGTGTGTGCACATGCGTGTGTGTGTGTGTGTCTAAGTCTCGGGAGCAGGACCTGTGGCTCTACCTCCACTCATACTGTTTACCTCCAGCAGGGGTGTTGAATTAGCGAATGAAATTTACCCCACAAACTAACATTATAGTGACATTTAAATCACAGCGTATCTTCCCCTCCCAGACTGGCAGTTTTCTAAGGATTAGTACTATCTAGGGGCTGGGTACAGTGGCTTATGCCTGTAATCCTAGTGACTCAGGAGGCAGAGATTGAGAGGACTGTGGTTTGAGGCCAGCCTAGGCAGCAGGTCAGTGCGACTCAGTTAGACTCTGTCAGTCGACGTGCTGATTGTGGTAGTCAAAACCTGTTACTCCAGCTACCTAGGAGATGGGGGTTGGGAGGCTGGTGGTTTGAGGCCTGGACAAAAAGTTATTTAGATGCCATTCCAACAGACAAAGTAGGGATGGTGGTCAGCATCTAGCGTACCTGAAATGGGGAAGGCATAAATAAGAGGATGCAGGCCAAAAGCATAAAGCAATGTCTGAAAAAGGACGGGAGTGCTGGCTCAGGCGTCCTCATGGCTAAGCTCCCGGGCCTTGGGGGTTGGGAGCCAGGCAGGACGTGGCGCTGGATAGGGAGTAGGTACTTACAGATGCTGCCAATTTCCTCTCCAAAAAACCACATGCTCTTCAATACAGCGATGATTAGGGTGCCCGCCGCTGTGCCAAACCAGGAGCACCGCGAACGCCACCGGCAGAAGACAGTGTGCGTCCTGCACCATCGGCTGGCCCGGCAGGAAGCTAAGAAACAAGGGGTGAATCTACTACTCACCATAGAAAGCCCCAAAAATCCATGAAGAAATCCAGAAGAATGGTTCTATTTCTGAACATCTCGTTTGTTTGAGCATACCACGTACACAATGAACACAAAAATGAGAGACAGGTGCCTGGCGATTTACCGCCATTCTCTGTGGGCCCGGATGGGCATGCGGGGAAACCTCTGGAACTGTGGGGCCTGCAGAGAGGAGAGTGCACTACTCAGCCAGGATGGGGGTAGAGGGGATCTTAGCTCAAACTAGTGGACACAACATCATCTGCGAATCACAGTTGCCTCCTCCAGCGTTTACCACACCTCTAGATGTAAAACAAAAGCCAACAAGAAAAAAAATGGAACTGCCCGTTCCGCGACATCAAAGCGGGGTTACAAGATGCAGGACCGTGTGCACGCAGGGGAAATGGCTCTCTCCACTTTGATGTTTTGTGAGACTCGCCTGACCTTGCAGGACTCTCTGGGTCACGATGCTCCTCTCCCTTCCCACCACCCCACCATCGGTCACTTTAGCAGTGCTGTGAGTCAGATTTTAATGACAAGGAATTTATTTTCTGCCAGATAAAAGATTCTTCGAGATAACTCCAGTCATATGAGGGTAATATTGGTAGATATTTGCAAAGAGGCTGGAAAAACAATCTCTTTCTGAGAGCGTTTCAGTTAGTGTCTAGAAGAAATATCAGGAGAAAGATATTTAAATTGACCGGGGACCCAGCAGAACGTCACGTACAAATTCTCAGGAGACAGTTCACAAACTGACCGACCACAGTAGAAGAACCAGCTCTCCATTTGCCTGGGTCATTGGAGGGGGGAGGGGTTCACAGAAAGAAAGTTACTGAAAAATTGGGACAAGTTGTTTAACTTACAAGGAACGAAGAACGTGAGAATTTAATAAAACAAATGTGCATTAAATGCCAGATACATGCACTACATGCTTAGAACCACAAGCCAGACGGACACAGATCTGACTCCTGCCGAAAGAGCTGAGAGGCTTGGAGGAATAAAAATCACTCTTTCCAAAAAAGAGAAGGAAGGAGATGAGGGAGAGAGGGAGGGAGGGAAAGAAAGAGGGAGGGAAGGAGGGAAAGGAAAGGACGGGAAGGAGGGAGAGAAGGAGGGAAGGGAGGAAAAGGGGGAAAGGGTACAAGTCCAACATACATTTTGTGGGTGTCACGTGCATGTAAGTGTTCAGTTATGCACTTGGGGCACTCAGGTTGGAGGATCGACAGTCTCAGTGAAAGAATTTTTTAAACTAAGAGGAAACTAAGCCACATCTCCAAAGGCTCCAGGCCTCCATCTGCTCAGTGCCTTCCGAGGGCAGACCTAACAGATTGCTGGCCGAGCCACACTGACCTGAATGGCGGAGCTCACTGGATTAGAACCTAACATTAAGAAAGGCGGGGGGAGGGGGGGAAGGTGGAGGAAACCCTGTGCACGGGAGGTCTGGCTCTGTCTGGGGAAAATGCGCACATGTTACTCTAGTTACATACTCTGAAGTTTTGCCCTCTGATTCTCCAAGTTTGAGAAGCAGGACTCGAGTCCATTCCCGCAGGGACAGTGGCCCCTGGGGAATGGTGCACAGTGACCGCCTTGTAGGTCTAGGCTCTCCGTCAGTTGACTATTTATGCACAAACCTCGCGGCGTGCCTCTCTGCAGTGAAAGGGGCTGTTGCAAGTGATGAATAACCAAACAGCCGCAGAAGGGAGAAAGATGCACCGGTGCTCCGGTGCTGACGGCTCCTTCTTTGCGCTGCTTGCTTGCCGGAATGCCAGGCCGAGCACCTGTGGCTTGCCGCTGTCCGGGCTCTGCGCCGTGATGCTGTGTAAGGAGCGCAGTGTGGAGACTCGGGGGTGGGGGCCAGGCGCTGCCCAGCGTCTCCAGCGCCTGGCCTGTGACTTGTGACTTGGTGGAGCTCACTCAGCTCCTTGGCTAATGACTTCCGGGCGCATTATGAGCAGTTTGAATGGGGCCATTGTAGGACAGCACCACCATCGGTGGTCTGGAATTTTTCCGTCATCAGTTCCTACCGGCCCAGGTCTGACGCATCTCATGACCCGCCGAGCAGGAACGAAGCCGGCTCTGCTTTGTGATGGCCGCACATGGAGGCGACAGGCTTCTCCCCACGATTAGACCATGTGCTCTTAAAAGGTGGTCTTTAAGAAGCCAGGTAGTCTGGTCATCATATTACCCCACAGCCAGGAGGGAGAATGAGGAGGATCCCAAGCGCTCTTTCTGGGAAGGCTTCTCCACCCTGCGTTGTACCCCAGGGCGGGAGGTTTTCCGGTGAGAGCCCGGTCCACCCTGTGTGCTGGCATTCAGATTCATCGTCCTGTTCCAGCCACAAGGCCGAGTTTTACAACTGCAACACTGCCGGGGCGGCGGGGGCGGGGGGTGAGGGGGATTCTTATAGGCTCGTTGGGTTTCACTTTCTTCTATGTAAGTAAATAGAGGCTCAGAGAGGTGTGCAGACTTGGTGATGAACTTTGGGCAGTAAATGTTTTGTTTGTTTGTGTTGACTGGGTCCTTGAAAGACGGGGAGAGGCGGGCGTGGGCTGGGTGTGCATGCTCTTCTTGTGCGGTGTGTCTCATCCACGCTACCGTGGCGCGACTCCCTGCCCTGAGATCTCATAGCAGCTGCACGCTCTATTCCCATTGTAGGGAAAGATTAAGCTCTATTTCCATTTTATTGAAAGATGTTGACTGTCCTCTTTCTATCTTATGTTTCAAAAGATTTTTTTTAAAGAAAGTTCTCTGCTGAGGACATTCTACCTATTCTTCAATATCTGAACCAGAGCCAGTAGGTGCGATTTAAAAAGACAAAAAGAGAGAGAGAGAGAGAAAGGAAGAAAGCTTGCCCTCTTGAATGCAAGTGGTTGTTAGGAATGAAGAGAACTTGGGGAATGTTTGTTTCGTAATCCGCATCCCATAATATAACCTTTCAAAAGTGCTTCAAGAGCCCATTTTTTTCAATATGTAGAAAAAAGGAGACACGTTCTCCTGTGAGCAGGGCGGCTTCTGCGCGCAGACCCCGCGGAGGACGGATGCGTAGTCCCTGGGATGTCAAGTGGCCCTGGCGCTCCGGAGCGGGGGCGGGGTCACGGATCCAGCGCTCCCTTTGTTCCGCCGCTCTGAGCCATCTTCCCACGTTCTCTTCCGCCCGTCTATGAGGTAAGACACAAAGAGACTTACAAACCGCTCGCACTGTGACTGGACACGAAGCCTTCAAGAGACGTTTAGCTTCTCACTCGTACTGGTGGTAATTCTTTGCAAATACGTTTAAAAAGTAGTTGATGCCAAGTTTGGGATTTTGTTCGTGTAAGTGTATAACGTAATAGGTCTCATGATGGGCATTTCAGACCCATCTGTTGCCACTACCGAGATGCCATGTTGCTGAGAACAGTGAGCGTCCACTGCCCGTCCTCCTCAGCATCGAGACCACCTAGGGCTGGAATCATGCCAACGGTCAGCGGACCTTGGTTTTACAATTTTACCACAACACTTCGGGTTGGCAAAGGTTCAAATAAGGATTGCAGAGCCCACAGAAGGACCACGGTTGTGCAGCACCTGCATAGGGCTACTTGGCCAGCACTAGCCAAAAATGAAAGAGTCCCATCTTGAGCCAGTGCAGAGTGATGACTGTCCAGTCAGTGCTGTGGTCCCAGAGGACGAAGCCCAACAGAAGATGAGCTGACCCTAACACATCAGCTCTCCAGAGTCGGCACCGTCAACAAGCAGTTATATACTTAGACACTGCAGTACTTCAGACATTAGCACGTTCGGGCTCCAGGTAGAACATGAACAGTCACAGCAGCTTTCAGGAGGGCCGTGTCTGTGGCTTAGTGATAGAGTGGTCACTTGTACCCATGAAGCGCTCAATGACTGGCATATTGATTAATCTGCAACAGAGGCTGTGAGCCGGGCAGGGAGCCTGCTCTTTCCTCTTAGTGGAGGTGGTGCTGGATTGCAAGCTTGTGCAATTAGATAGGTAAAAAGGGAGAGGGGTAGAACATTCAAATTTTGCATTTTATGCAATGTTATATGACTAATCCTGAAGAAAAAAATGATTTGAGAGAATAATTGAATTCAGCAAAGTGGTTAAGATTCAACAAAATCATTTGTGCTTTAGGTAATAAGTTACCTCAAATTGAAATAAAGGGAACAATTCTATTTATGGAAGCATCAAAAGAATAAAATATTTCAGAATGCATTTAACAGAAACAACTTCTGGACTTCTCCACTGAAAACTTAGGAACATTGTTTTTGAAAAATGAAGGATCTACATGAATGCAAAGATATCCCATGTTCATGGACTGGGTGACTGAATAAAGCTGGAACTATTTTACAAACTGGCATATAAGTTCTTTCAAATCCCCATCAAAATTCTGCTTTTTTCTCTTCATCCACGGACAGGCTGGTCCTAAAATTCATGTGATGTTACAAAGGAAACTGCAACCAAAAACCAGAGTCAGAGTTGGAAACTTGATTTGATTTCAGAACTCACTGGCAAGGTACAGTGATGAGGGCAATGGGCACAGCGTCATGAAGAGAGACGAAGGAGCAGAATCGAAGTCTCGCAGTATTACCTGTAATCATGGCTTCAGCGACTCTGTGTGATCTGATCGGTCTAACGTCCCCTTTCCACTGATGGGCTGTGAATACTTAACCAATGAGTTCATGACCATGATTATTGAATTCAGACTGCACCATTCTACTGAAAATATATACATGACAAAAGCAATAGCATGTATATAACTCAATACGGTCTAGACCCCAAAACAGATAGCACAGGTGTTGGCCAGCATCCTGCATAGCAGGTAGTCTGTAGAGAGACTCGGGCTTTGGAGAATCCAGCCAGCGGCCCGCGGGCTTCCTTACCTTGCTGATGTGAGCTTCCAAAGCTGGGGTGTGAGGTGGAGCAGCCATCACAAACGAAAAAGAAACCACAAGGAAGGGGATCCAAGGAGCCCTTTAACGCCGCCCCCTCCCCCCCCCAGTAACCTGAGGACCTCTGGACCCACATCACACAGGTTGTGCCGCCAATGACAGCACCCTGGGGCCCAGGCCGCCTGGGAACGCGGGTGCGGGGCCAGTGTGCACCTCGTTCTAGCCGGCAGCCTGCTTTCCCCCCGCACCCCAACCGCGCTCCCCTCTTCTTCATAGATGGCCAGTGGTGAGGGCATAGCCCTGGGGCCAGGGCTCGGGCCCCACTTGCTGCTGCTGTAACTGTCTTGCTGGTTTCCTGCAGGCGCCACCGAGCGGTCGTGGTGCGCTGGCGCCGTCGCCGCCTGAGCGCCGCAGCCTCTCGCTGGGGCCGCACCGCCTTGGGCTCCACCAGGAAGGAGCAGCCATGCGTGCGAGGCATTCCTCTACCTCGGGCACGGCATGGCAGCAGGCTGTCTAAAACTGGCACGGCACAATAATGCGCCGGGGCTGACTTATTTTTCCATTGTGTGGGATTAGGCAGGCGTGGAGAGGCCCAGGGCGCACGAAGCAATGATTCATGTAAAGCGTCCATCTAGAGGAAATCCCCCTGCACAACTCCCGTGTGACTCTTCTTTACCGCTGAAGGGTATGTGGCTAAGTCGATGAAGATTATCCAGCCCGTGTTTGCTCCACACAAGAGTTCTCCCTGATCCAAGGATTCCTAGCCGGAGAGGCAGCCGGGGGAGCAGGGGGAGGGGGGGGAGCCGGGAGGACTTAAAAGGACAGTAAGGGTTTGATTAATTGTTGTTTTTTGGTCGCTTGTGGGGCTTGAACTCTGGGCCTGGGCGCTGCCCCTCAGCTCTTCAGCTCAAGGCTAGTGCTCTACCACTTGAGCCACAGTGCCACTTCCTGATTAAATTTTTTTGACTTCCATAAAGTTGTAATCTATTCTGCAAGTGACTCAAAAAACACCAAGTGGGTCACATTGAAACAGGAGTTTGTAGGTTGCAAAGAATAGTCTCTCTCGAGTTCCTCCTTTTTACCTGCACTACAGTAGTCTTTGTTTGGCAAAGAAGTATAACTCTATTTCATGGGAAACAGAGTGAATCATAAGAGGAAATGATACAGGTAAATTTGAACAACATATTGGTGAAGTTTCTCTTCAGAATAAATCTCATTTGGTATTTGGCTTTTTTTTTTTTGATAGTTGGGGCATACTTATTTTACCCAGATTTTTTTCCAGGTGTCTTTCTGATAACCCAAATATAACATATTTGAAACAAAACCTGAAAAGAATCAGAACTTTTGAATGCAAGACCTAGGTTGGAATCTCTGTTCCTAGGTAAAGCACAGGATTTTGTGCTAGCTGATCCATGTAAGGCCTTAGCTCAGATGAGAATATTCATCTGTAAGCTCAAGGAGCCCTCGTAAGACCTGGTAAAACCCCTCTTCACAGAACAACACGGTGCTGACTACTCAAGAGACAATACGGAGGGAGGAAAGGCAAGCAAACTAGCTAACTGAAGAGTCTCACATAGAGCCTCCCATGAGCAGGGACCTTCTGGCCTGGGTGGTTTGCCTTGACTGTAAATTTGACCAAATCAGCGCTGCCTGAGATGGATAGAGTCCATCCCTCAGTGCTGTTTCCGGAGACAGATCAGGAGGTGCTGCCTAATTAATGGTTTAATCCATGGCTATGGGGTGTGGGGGGGAGGGGGGGCTGTGGCAGGCAGGTCCGGCAGGAGAGGCCCTGGCTGCTATGCACCACGCTCTGGACTCCTCCCGTTGCTTCTCTCTGTTTCTTGGCCACCGTGAAGTGCACGGTGTTTCTCTCCACATGCTGCCGGCCCCTTACCCGAGGCCTGCCCCAAGGGGGCAAGCCAACCATGGGCTAGATCCCCCAAAGTGTAAGACAGAGCGATGCTTCCCTCCCTCTGGGGCCCTCCGCATTCTGTCAAGTGGTGACACCAGGTTTCAGACGGGGCCCGTTAGATCCGTAGCGTTCCAACCCCGGGCTGGCGGCTCACAGCTTCTCAAATACACACGACAGCTCTTCATCCCCTCACACGGGCCTCAGGCGCTCCGTAAGGTTTGCTTTATCACTGGCACGCCACGTGGTACTGCGTGTGGTTTTGCCTTACGTGTGCATTAGCTCATCAACGAATTGGGGAATTTGGCATGGACAGCATCTTCAACGTTTATCATCTCTTTATGGAGAGCGCTTTCACGACCCAAGTGCCTGCAGATGGCTTTGTGTTCATCCCACTTGACAAGTATTCAACGGCCCTTCAGTCTGTGAGGCTAGTGAGTTCGCTAGATTTGGAAATCTCTCCACAATTACTGCTTCACATGCTACGTCTAGCCGGCACGTTTTCTGGACTTGGACTCTCTTACTCAGTCCTCCCTGCAGTAACCTTTCCTATGTTCCTACTTTCTCTCCATTGTGGGTTTATTTCTTTTTCTGATATAACTTCCAGTTCACAGATCCTTCAGTTCTGACTAAGCTGTTATTAACACCATCCAGTCGTTATTTAAAATACTGATTATTGATATTCTTCTTGATTTTTCATCCAATCCCTTAACTTTTTCTAGGGAATTTTAGCTGTCCATTTGTTGGAGTCTAACTTAATTTTCTTACTTTGAATAGAATACATATAGCTGATATGTGTATATACATATGTTTGTGTATGTGTATGCATTCTTTGTGGGTATTTCCTCTGCTTGTTTCCAGTGGTTTTAAGTCCTGTGTTCATGTAGCTGTGTGTATGTGTGTGTGGGTGTATCTGCGTGAACACAGGGTACCTCTGTGTGTGTGTGTGTGTGTGTGTGTGAGTGTGTAGGGGTGTATCTGCATGAGCACAGGGTACCTCTGTGTGTGTGTGTGTCTGTGTGTGTGTGAGTGTGTATGGGGTGTAGCTGCGTGAGCACAGGGTACCTCTGTGTGTGTGTGTGAGCATGTGTGTGTGAATGTGCGAGTGTGTGTGGGTGTGTCTGCATGAGCACAGGGTACCTCTGTGTGTGTGTGTGAGCGTGTGTGTGTGTGTGTGAGCGTGTGTGGGTGTATCTGCATGAGCACACGGTACCTCTGTGTGTGTGTGAGCGCATGTGTGTGTGAGCGTGTGTGGGTGTGTCTGCGTGAGCACAGGGTACCTCTGTGTGTGTGTGAGCGTGTGTGGGTGTGTCTGCATGAGCACAGGGTACCTCTGTGTGTGTGTGTGAGCATGTGTGTGGGTGTATCTGCATGAGCACAGGGTACCTCTGTGTGTGTGTGTGAGCATGTGTGGGTGAATGTGTGAGCGTGTGTGGGTGTATCTGCGTGAGCACAGGGTACCTCTGTGTGTGTGTGTGAGCATGTGTGTGGGTGTATCTGCATGAGCACAGGGTACCTCTGTGTGTGTGTGTGAGCATGTGTGGGTGAATGTGTGAGCGTGTGTGGGTGTATCTGCGTGAGCACAGGGTACCTCTGTGTGTGTGTGAGCATGTGTGGGTGTATCTGCATGAGCACAGGGTACCTCTGTGTATGTGTGTGTGA